CTATATAACGAAAGGAGACTGCGACCACACAAAAGGCCACACCATCTTGGTCTTCATACCTTCGATTAAACTATGGTAAGTTTTATGTTCAGTTAATTCCTGAGGCACATATAATCGAGTAGATGATGCGTGAATGCAATGCCTAACACCCGCAAGCCTGGGAATCACAGCCTATGTTTTCTTAAGGTGAGGCGACCTTGTACGTGCTACTAAAGTCTTGAGCAGAAAGTACACTGAGGCTGGAACCTAGTGAATTAAGTCAACCAGAAAGATAATACACGGATCTACGGGCCCATGATGCATATACGGATAGGATGCCCAAGTCGGACCAGCCACTTGAAAGAGAGCGTGGCAAGGCAAGCAGCAGTTGTGATGACGCCACGGTAAATTCGCCGAAAGGGCACACCTCTTGAGGACTTGATTATAAACAGGTCAGAAGTTATGATAGGCCGAAAGTGAGATAAGATGGTAGAGAGTATATAGAAGGACCAGGACAGATAATTGGTCAAGGGATTGACAGGTTGTAGCATGGCGCTGAGACTGGCAAGATTCGCTGACGATGCCGGCAACAGGTCTGGGAATGTACCAAGACGACAGGGGAATAATTCTAACTATCATAATAAAGGGCTTTAAATAAGGTGAGTCTAAGTCACTCTGACAACACAACTTATTATACTTTTGGCAGGTTCATCATCCTATTTCACATAAACTGCATCCAAAATCGCGTTACTTATATTGCAATCGCACTAAGCCGATTTGTTCAATCAAGGTTCTTTCAATTCTAGGCTTAAGTAGTTGGTTGGACAATGGTCCTGCTAGTTTGACTGTACATATCTTGGACAAAAAATATTCTCTTTGTAACTTACCAGGTGCTTGAAATCGCGTCTAAGGAGTATCTCCGTTTTTTCAATAAGGATAATCTAAAATAGAAAGGTATGCCGCGCGGCTTTGTCTCAAGTAATTTATGATGCATTTTCCTTATCATCTACTAGCCCATACCGTCAATCGAATTGCCATTCACTATTATATCGGCAGATATTCATTAAGGTTCATCCAGAGCGTAGAGACCGCTTGTATAACTGGAGGCCTTTAGGCGTAGTTCGACAGAAACTCAAGCCATATTGATTTTACCATAGGGCAAGGATATTGGAGCTTACTGGCATTATCAGATTTAGGATAGTTCGCCCTAGCGACCAGATCTGGTATGATGTATTTATAGAGACTGAATCACCTAGACAGGCAGGTTTATTTGCCCATTAAATATGCATATGATGGAGCTTGTGTGAAGTCTCACAAGAAGAATATTTACAAGCCTGTAAATATTGTTTTGGTCTAACGATTTGTTTGACGAGAATATAACGAGTCAATAATAAATGAAGGCTAAAATACAATATTTGCGAAGCATATAAGTAAATATCATATTGGATATTCTCTTGCTACTAAATTAAATGAAAAATGAATACTCATTAGGATGCATCCTAGCAAAACTTCTGAGGGTGAAAATACACAAATACATATTGTCTCGTTAAGGATGCATTTTTAAAAATATGAAACGTAATCCAAATAAATGGATTGTACAAAGACAAAAAAGTTGCTTCAAAATAATCAGTTATAAAAGTATATCGCAGATATGGCTTGGCATGATAACGCAAAGTTCTCAGACTGGAAAACGGGATGAAACAAGGCGTATATATGATATCAAATATAGTTACTGAAACGATGGAAGGAAGTTAGAAATAGACACAGAAATTGTAGAAAGAAGCAAAGATAGTTAATGACACTTACAATTTAGTGCGGGGTTATGCATTGGTGACATACAATGTAAGAGAGCCAATGCTGTCTCAAATAAAAGTAAGCATAGCAAAAACGTATACTTGAGAAAACTATTATAAATTTAGGTGGAAAACTAGATTACAGAGCTGCTTTTTATCAGCTAAATCATGACAAGGGCCCTATTGCAATCAGTCGTCTCTTAAAAAATGTTATCTGGCAAGTCTATCACGATGGAGGAGTAATGTGTATGCTCAACGATGAAAATATTGAGTTGGTGGAGTGTTCAGAACAAAACCTACTATGGAAAGTATGGAACCGTTCTATTCTACACTAACTATTAGCACCGACGAACATTTTACAAATAATGAAACCTTAGAGCCCTCAGATGTTCAGCATCTACGTGGATGATACTGAGACGGATTTTAAAGTGAAAAATAAGGGCAGAATCAGGTGTAGAAGTTGATTTCTACTTTTTAGTTATTCCTGCTCTCGTTCAACTTGGATTGGCGAACACGGTGGATCTCTCTGACACGATCATTTAGGCTGTATCGTAGACGAGCGCAGGGAAGTGGTGATGATCCCTGTCTATCCTCAATCTCATTAGGCCCCTTATAAAGGCCGAATTGTGCGCCAAACTGCCTCCTATTCAATGTTAGTGGAGCATAACTTATAGAGGTATGGGATTTATTCAACTTAGGGCCCGGACCTGAAGATATGAAGTGACCAAGTTTATTCCCTTCATATGAATCCACCTGAACATTTTCCTGTTCTTTTGTTGGCGACTTTCGCTGTCTGATTCGGCCCAGAGCGGCTAATGCATTGGCCCAAGGAGGAGTTAGCTGGATTTGCGTCAGAGATAGAGGCTGTGACGACTGTTCTGTTTTTTGCAGCTGAATTAGTTTCAGACAGTCATGTTGCTGTTTTGGATCTCGCGAAAATAGCTGTTGGTGATGAAAACCATCACGGATCTTATGCGAACCATGTGGTTGTGAATCCTGCTTCAGTGATACGGGCTGCTTGCTTGGAGACAGCGGTAGTGAAAGTGGAAATGGCGATTGATCTTGTGCATTTTGAATAGGCAATGAAACTAATGTATCTGGAAACAAAGTGGGATGAGTTGACTTTGAGATGTTTCTTGTTCTTTGGGGAGATGCTGGAGCAGAAGATCTTTCAATTTTTTCTACCAAAATAGAATCTTGTACGTGGATTTCGGAGTATTGTAGTGTCTTCTCATCAAAAGAGCCCAAACATTTTGAATGGATTTTGTCCTCAAAAGGTGTTGTTGTTTGACTCCCTAGAGATCGTCTGCGCAAATAAGTCATCTCATGATATTTGGAATTTCCGTATGATTCCGTACTATGTATTAAGCAAGGAGGATTGGATACTCGTGTCGGAGTCACCAACGAAGGTTGAGGTAAGTAGTCTGATAAGACGGCAGAGTGAGGACAACGGCTGCAGATCTCAGGTTTTCCTGGGCTTGAGTCATTGGAAATGGTAGGAGTATCCAAATCTTTCGTGCTCAGCCAAAGCATGAAATGGGGCTGCAGGAAGCGCAATAGTGAATAAAAGGAAAAAAAAGAAAATGGTTAAGGTACCAAATATGTGGTTTCGCCTGAATTTATTAGAATAACAACTACAATCTATGACCGGATGTACAGAATATAGCTGTAATTAAAGAGAGCAAAAGTGCCGATAAAGCAAGGTGTCGAAATTAACATTATTGTAAATAATAAGAGTTGAGTGGTATATAAAACTTCAAGATTCATGCATAAAGCGAATATCATTTAAGTAAATCTCCGAGATTCAGGAGTTTTAATATGGCATTACCATTAAGGTAAATGATGAGCAGCCAATACAAGGTTTTTTACTGTAGGCTCCGATCTACATATGAACAATATTCTGGTTTGTGAGAAATTGGTATTAAGGATTAACGTTAAATCAGTTAGGCAAAGATTTAACTATAATATTGATTAATTTAGTTTGTACATATTTTACTCTCGATGCCAAAATGTGTAAGAAAATTCGTGGTTTGGCAATGGGATCGTAATTAGCTCCAATTTTACCCAATAAATATATGGGTGCATTAGAAGTTTACTTAACTCAAGAAGCACTTCCAGTGACCCATTCCAAATCCTTTTTGCTACACCAGATGGTTTTGTTACATGATGTTCGTATCTGTCCTCCAATGTTAATTAGACATAGAAACGATTTATAAATATTTCTTATCATAACTCATCCGAATTTAAGCAAATAATTTCTCATCTGCGATACCGAGCTTACCACTAAACATAATAGGCTAAATTTCGCACCGTCCGGCAGTAGTCAGAAACTTACTTTTACACAAGCTGAACTGATTTTTCCACGGCTCTCACCTCTTTATAATACTGATGTTGCACTGACGTATTGAGTGCTACTATTGCGCGCAAAACTGGTTTCTAAATCAGCTTCTCGAAGCACTATTCACTCGTGAAAGGTCTCGACGATTGTCCTTAAGACGACCTGGAGCAGCCCCACCGCATCATAAATTAAGCCAGCCATTCTCTTGGATTTAGACCTCCACGCGTTTCCACAACTGTCGCTTCTGCGTGCTATTGCTACGCACGCTGCAGCCATCCTCCCTCACATCTGCATCTACGATATGTCAAAGTCGGTTGGACTTCCATGCAGGGAGGACCGCGCCCACTCAGCGTCTAAGTATAAAACAAAGTCTTCCAAGGACCTTGCCGTTGAGTCTGCAATACTAATTCGATCCGTTGGAGCAAAGTGTCTTTGCCGAAGAATCGACGAAGGATCAGCGGCGCGCCTACGAAATGTACTTTGAGGCGTCCCATTATCTCCATCTGGCTATACATATCGAGAAAGCTGTCCCAGTTGTCCTGTTTCTGCCCCTATCCCCTTGCCTAGCCTTGAAATCTACGTCTGCCCTGTGGCATAAGGTCACTCGTATCCGTTTGAGGTAGTGGTTAAAGTGTCGATACTTTACGTTGTACTAATTGGGTTCGAGTCCCGCTGGGGGCGCTGATAGAACCTAGGTGAGGCCGAAACTGCAGCCCACTCTGGATGAGAATACAAATCAATGGGAACGTGAGGCCTACTCATATCATTGTGGGAAAATTTAATTATCAGTCCTTTAAAATATGCGACATAGGGTGAATACAGCTCTTACTAAGGATATCCTAAATACGAATACAAGATTAATTTACCAGTAATTAGATCGTCGATATGATTTAACTGGTTCATTTCTGTTAAAGGAGGCAAGTGATGCCTTAAGGCGTAAACGACATTCCAAAAGTGACATATTATTTTCAAACTCTATGTAAGGGTCTAAAAGGTGATGATGTCTGTCGATTTAAAATCAGAACTTCATTTCTATTTCGTGGTGGTGCATAATCAAAAACTAATATATGATTTAAATGCCCAATGCTTCTTTAAACCAGGTCTCTTTAATGTCATACTTTATAGACAATGCTTTTTAGCATAAATCGGCGAGGAGGCCAATGCCTATGCAAATCTTGTCACCAGCTATATTTACCTCCATTCGACCAGGATCTGTTACAGCAGGCTTATCATGCTCTCCATTGGCAAGAGTAATTTTATTAGCTGCACAAGTCGCTTGCTCCCTTTCGATATTATCTTCTTTGTCCCATATTTCTGCCGCCTTTTGGCCTTCTGGTCGACCATCATGTCCTCCAGGCCAGGCTATCTTTCCTGCAAGCAAAACGGACTCCTTTGGACACTTTTTCGGGTAGGTCTGAATGACACCAGCCCCCTGTTCTCCTTCAGCTCCGGCGGAGTCGGATTGTTCGGCATTTTCCTTATGCAGTTGCTCGATACCAGGGTTAGCAAGATAAAGCGGGATGAATGGTTGATCAGGATTTCCTTCGGAAGTATATTCAAAAATAGAGCATTTGCCTTCTAGGCTCTGTAGCAAGGAGGCCTGACAAATTAAGTTCTCACTGTCAGTAGTGCTTTTAGCATGTTTATCAGTGCAAATGTCGATACTCGGTATTACATAGTGTTGTCCAGCTGCATGCAAAGAGCTTGACCTGGACTCGGAGGTGGGGAATTTAACCGGAGTGGCAGGAACTGAAGCGAAGAGAGGAGCACTGGTGACCTCAGGTAGGATGGTAGAAGGTGAAGCAGGTCCTGATCGTAACTGACCAGAGTTAGATTTTAGATGAACCAGACAGGAAGCAGATTGGTGAGGAAAGTGAAGATATAATGAATCAGGCTGAAAAGAGTAGCGTTTTTTGATAGCTTTTTGAGGTGCTTCAGAGTCGGAAAAATAAGATGGGCCTTCGTGAGTACCACCTTCAGCGCCTAAATTATTCCTAATTAAGGCGAGCAAACTAGTCAGTGGTTTAGGCTCCCTGTTCACTTTAGAAGAGCGTTGCTCAGTCACAGCATCAGCAGCTAGCATAACGTCTGTGATACAATGAGGATATAGCCTATCGGTAACATGTTGTACAAGGCAAGAATCATAGATCCAGTGACGTTCAGAAGCATCGATAGGCGGAGAAGCAAGCAGAGTGTAATCAGTATGTCTTTCAGTGCTGTCAAATGATTCAGTTTTACGTGAATTTGGTCGAGCTAGAGCCTGCCAAAAAAACATAACGGAAAAAAATTAGTGCGCTAATAAAAAAATAAAATATACAATAGTCCCCTTATGTGGGAGTAACTTATTGATGATTCATTGAGGCTAAATTGTGAGCAAAGAATGAAAATAAGCAAGTATAGTGAAAGGTGATTGAAATTAGTAAAACAATCTGAGGCTAATTTAGAAACAGGCAATGCCAGTAACTAGCCTAGTTTTCTATGTACAAATAGGTTTTAGGGAATACGATTATATTTAATATAAGATATGTATTCACCCTATTTCGTTCAATTTCATGAAGGGCTGGTAGTTGCATTTTCTCTCAAAGATATATATAGGCCTTGTGTTTTCATTGAAATTAACATAGCCTTGCTGCCAAAAGGCATTCTCATCTGAAGTTAAGTGCAGTTTCGACCTCGCCTAGGTCTCATAAACACCCCCAGCTGGACATTAACCCAAGTGTAGAGTCAACTACGCTAAGCTGCCACGTTACCCTTAGGTTCAAAGGCAGAAGAAATTCTAAGCCTTTCCAATATCACATTTCCGTGGCGGGGTTGCCGGCGAAGCAAAGTTGTATTTACTATAGCAATCGACTAAATCACATATTTTTAGTTTATAGGCAGGTTTTCAAGAGCCATAGTAATCCAATTTCGTTTAAATTATAGAAATGCGACCATACCAAAGGCCACAACATCTTAGTTTTCATATATTCATTTAAATTGACGCTATGTTTTCATTAAATTACATATATTTTTGCTTCCCAAAAGGTATTTTCTCTAAGGGCGTACTGTGATATGGAAAGCGCCTAGGCCTTCATGAAATCTTCGCGGCAGTGTGGTTTAGTGGTTAACGTGCCGAGATCCTGTGCTGCACTGACCGGTTTCGAGTCCTCTTGAGGATGCTGAAGAGGCCTAGGTGAGGTCGAAAGTGCAGACCACCTTGGATGAGAATAACTTTTGGGAAGCAAGGTTTTGTAAAAATCAATGGAAACACAAGGTATAATCATATCATTATGGGAAAACTCAACCGCCAGTCCTTCGTCACCATAACGGAAATCGATTGAATATAGCTCTTATATTAATATACTTAGACCATTAATGTAAAAAGAAATATATCGAAATATTTAACAAAAATTCTTAAGTTTGATGAGGTGTGAAAAGTTTATGAGTCTAAGCGTAAATAGCCTAAGGCGATGGCTATGTGTCATTTTAATTAATAAATAAAGTTCTAAAGTAACTAGTGAAAGTAAGTGAAAATATAGAAGATAAAGACCCACAAATTAAGAATAATGCAAGGTACAGGTGTAAGCAGAACAAGCTTGGATGAACTGGAGCTAAAATTAAGATAGTAAACTGAAGGATCAATAAAATTATTGAGTTCAAATCTTCATGGAAGATCTAATACCCAGCATGGTCAGTATTTGGATTAAATTCATTGCTGCGATAGGTTTTTCGTAACTGTTACGATGTGTATGCATCCGGTTTGCATAGTACATCTGATCTTCCATGAAATAAGTGAGTATTCGATGAATTCGAATGCCAACCTAATATTTTTAAAATATAAATATTGTTTTTACAGAAGGAAGGATCTCTAACTGAAAAATAAAATGATTAAATTTAGGTAGAAAACAAATAATTATACTATCGTAAATCGACTCGTCTTACTCGATTAAAGCTAAAGCCTTTCTGCTTCTTGGCCAGCATAGGCTGTGAGACCACAGAAACTGGGATTTGAGTAAGCGGCATCATTTCTCCGTCTAACCGACAAATACCACTCCTACTAGTACGCCCAGCAGGTCTATTGGGTTTGGTACAAGGTCCAGTCTGTCTGGACCCCGTGACGACTATCTGGCCACTAGCTATAGTTGAAATTCCTCCCAAAGGTTTGGATTTGCCTGCATTAGCGCCTACGATTTCGTTCGAGGAAATGCCAACGCCGACAGAATTGGAGTCAAGGTCAGTTGCGGCTGAAGTTGAACCTGCTGTAGTGGAGCCTACTCTCTTAGAGGCTCGGGTAGTTGGAAGCCTTTCTTTTCTGGCCGGGCGAACAGCAGGCATCATCAGCGCAGGGCCTGAGGGCAGGCCGTCAGGTCCAGTCATTAGGGGGCTATGAAGAAGGAGAGAGGCTCCACGTTGCCGACTAAGTTGACGCTGATATTGCGCCTCCAGGGCGACTAGGTTGGTGGTCATGCGGGCACGACACGCAGGAGTAAGACCGCAGGGACCTGGGCCAGGAATGGAACTGACGGCGCCAGGTCCAACCTTGGACAGCAAAATATAGGAAATTAAGTGAGTCAAAAGGAAAAGCGAGGTGCTATTTAAGGTAACATTTAAGATAACATGACATTATAACTAATAAAGGCCCTTCTTTAAAAATAGATGTGAAACAACGAGCAAGTCTCCAAAGGAAATGATTGTGCTAGTAGCATGCCATCAGAAGATCTTGACTATTGGCTGTAATCACCCCAGGTTATATATAATGAAGGAGTGATGAAGCTTAATTTTTCCAAAATGATACGAGTGTGCCTCGAGATACCACTTAAATACACTTTTCTTCCTTCCAAAAGGTTATATCATCCAGGATAGACTGCAGTTTTGAACTCACCTGGGTCTCATATGCATCCCCAAATGGATTCGAACCCGAATAGTGCAGCATGTAATTTCAAGATGTTATCATTACACGACAGAGCATCGAGTGCTGTTGGATCACTGTCAGACGTTAATTTTATGACAAGACAGGCCTTATACATAGTGCTCGATCGAACAACAATGACCCATAGCTGTGGAAATTTTTATTTGCATGAATCCTGTATGATCGGAAAATATCTTTTGTTTATAGTGGTTAGAAAGGAAAGTAACTTGCAATGCTGATGTCTGTCCTAGTGGTCCTACTACGTCGTCGTGGATCACCGTCTCTTCGCACCTTATTGCCTCTATGCTGAGCGACATGCCTCTCTCCCAGTTTCTCACCATTGTTGTCGTTGTTGTCCTCTTCATAATCCTCCCCTTCGTAAGTTTGGATACAGGGTTCAAAAATACTGTTTGTCTGCTTAGAGTGTCGCTCCGAACGAAATCGTCCGGATGGCAAAGAGTTCCATTTTCTTTCAGCAATGTCCAGTTCCCCTCGGAACACGAAAGAACTTTTCGCCTCCATTCCAATTGGCCTCACGATGGTTTTGGGTGCCTCCATAAAATGTTCAGGCTCTGAATCAGAGAGGCTCTCTGCTCCGACACCATCAAGCAGCCGCCCAGCTCCAGGTGCTAATACCATACCCCAGAGGTCTGGTTGACGTAAATAAAGGTCTTGTAGGACAGGAACTTCGGTGCGCTCTGCTTAAATTGTAGAAAAATGTTTATTCTAATAGGTAGATAAGTAATGCTATTACATAACGTTATGGGAGAGTAGAATCTATGAATTTAAAGGTCTTAAGGCCAACTACCTCATCACAAAGTATGAATACTGAAGAATTACCTCAATCAAAGTTTGTTATTTATATCATGCTTACAGAAAGGAGTAAAAATAAAAAATCCTGCTTTATGGCAAAGTGATTTAGGAATGATGTAAATCACGAACTTCCCTATTTTTTTCATATGTAAGTAGAGTTTATAGACTACCAGTAAATCAGTAATACGAGATGTATTCACCCTATTTCGTGTAAGGTGATGAAGGACTGGTAGTAGAATTTTCTTACAATGATATGAGTAGAACTGACGTTTCCTTTGAATTTTGCATAGCCTTGAGAACAACTTCTGGGAAAACAAGACTATGTGAAATTCAACGGAAACGTCAGCTCTACTCATATCATTGTGGGAAAATTCTACTACCAGTCCTCCATCATCTTAAACGAAATAGGATGAGTACATCTCATATTGCCATATTTTTGACAAGATTTGCTTGGCCAAGTAAAAATCTCCCAGTGGATTATTTTTGCCAAAAGCATTTCCAGAGGTTCTACTTGTGGGTTGAATTGTATGTTAATGTTACTTTGAATATTGTTCAATACCATAACTGTTTGTTTGAATAAATTACTTTTGGCCGTCATTCGCTGATCTTGTATCTCGCTCCAATTGGTATGCTAACAATTTCCAAAATCCATCTTCCTAAAAGGCTATGATCAATACACAGTAGGGGGAAATAGGCTCTAAAATAGGGCAAATTCCTGGAAATTCTGGCCAAACTTCGGTATATCTTGCAAGTCATAATAAGTGAGTTATGGCTAGTTACCATTTCTATGGAGTAAAATAAAAGTTTTGCCTAAAGACCCCTGCGACATTAACAGGAAAGTCCTTCGTGGTCCCTAATATTCTGCCTACATTTTGTATTGTGGACAAGTTAAAAAATACTCTAGCTCTCGCACTAATGCAAATCAAATGTGGTTTGCGTAAGACATAAACCAGACTGAGTAATTAAGGTTGCGTTAATAAATGGATTCTAAGTATGGCCATTCAGACTATACTATATCAAAGTTGTGATTCGTTTTCACGAACCTGTGATTCCGATTTTGTCAAAGCACAAACTGGCGTCTCTGTGCCTCTTAGTTCTCTCTAATTTCCGTGAAGACTCACAGATATCGTCTTCTGAATATGGTCCAGA